TAAACAAAAACCAGAATAAAAAAAAAAAAAAAATTTTTTTTTAAAAAAAAAAAAAAAAAAAAAAAAAAAAAAGAATTCAGGAAAGAATTGTTGGTAGAGATATTCCACAAATGATTTTTACAGTGAAATGTGCTTTACAAAATCCTCACTTGGAGAAGCTGAATACAAAAGCAAGCCGCACTTTTCAGATTTGTATTTGTAAAATTAAAAAAAAAATATATATATATATATATATATATATATATATATATATATATATTCTAAGCATCGTTTTCTTCACAACTGTGTGCTACTTTTTTGTCTGTGTATCCCATCAAAATCCCCCTCCAACCCATACTGAGGTTTGTGGTTGTGATATGACTACATCTGAAAAAGATTCAAGGAGAATGAACATTTTTTCCAGGCAATTCACTGGGAACCATCAGTCCTGCTTTGTTGTGACGAGTTTTCAAAGATCGGGTTGATAAATAGCCACACAGTGTGAAGACCAAACCACCTTCTGCTGGAAAACAAGCATAGCTCAAACATAATGTTAATTTAAAAAAAAAACTGCATTTTTCCAGTCAAGCTGTGTTGTGGCTTTTTCTAAGGACCTGTGCATTTCAGAGCGCTGTGCCAGTCTGCCCTCAAGTGCTGGTGCCACTGATTAGACCGGTCTGCTCAGGAGGCAACATGATACACAGACTTACATGCTGAATGTGATGAAGGGCTTTATTTCAGACCTACGTTAGTAATAAAAAACTCATCCACAGGTCCTAAAGGTTACCAAATATCCACAGTGTGATGCATTCTTGAAAATTTATGACTAACTTACCACAAAATTGAAAGGAAAAATAATAAAACTCACAAAAAATATTGTCACAATGCTCACAAAACAACTGATATGACATTATAAAAGCAAAAATGACAAACTGGGGATTTGAAGTGGTTTTAAATGCTGGAAAAAAAATCTCATTTCCATTAGTTTTTAATTGATTTAATTTCCAAGACTTTGCTCTATTGTTGACTGGGGAGAAGTTGAAGTATAGCCCATCATAAGATGAATAGAGTGGAAGAAATGTCAAATGACTTCAAGCTGAATAAACACGGCTAATTGTAGCTGCTGTGTTATAAACTGCAGTGGAATGACCCATTAAGTCTCTTTCTTATTCATTCTTTAGACTAACAAGTAGGTTTTCTTTTCTTTTTTCCTACCAGTCAGAATGATGTGAATGAGAACTACTGATACAATATACCTGAGTTGAAAAGAAGCAAAAAAAAAAAAAAAGACATTTGTAGAAATAACCAGAAGCAACAACTTCCCACCTGTGTCAGTGAGTTCAGTCAGCGGTGTCTCAGTAGCGCACCTCCACCAGGTTCATTCTGCGCCTCCTCGCCCCTCGCTGCTCTGTTTGCCTCCGGCTCCCACAGAGACTGAGGGCCCTCGCTGACTGACGACACCGGCAGCCGCAGCCCACTGGTACGGAGCAGTGGAGGGTGGTCCATGTACAGAAAAGAAGGGAGGCTGATGAAGAGGTTTTCCTTGCAGCTGTCTCGGCCCTCCCTCCCCTCCTCCTCTTCCTCTGATGTCATGTGAAGTTTAGGAGGGGATGATGGATCTTTTCACAGCAAATGAGAGAGGGGTGAATCCAACTTGGGGAAGCGAGCAGCAAAGACACACACACACACTTTACGTCAGTGTGTTTCTGTTCATTTTAGTAATCGGATTATGGTTGTTTATAATGTTTCCACTCACTTGATGTTCCTTTTGTCAAATTCCATCCAGTAGACGTGGGCATATCGATACAAAATATCGATAATATTGATACCAAGTCAATATCAGTATTGTCACTATGGTTTCAGATACATTCTTGAAATTTTATGTAATTTTGTATTGTAGTTGCTCACAACTACCTCAAAACAGATTTTTGTTTTGGTTAGCTCTGAAATGACACTTTTTTGTGCTTTGGTTATCTAGAAAAAATGCATGCAAATCACATCAATATATTAATGGATTGTTTTGGACACCTGTAAACTTTGTCCAAATTATGTTTGAACAAAATATCTCAAAAGATTAGGGGGAGAGGAGGAATGACAAAAACACCTAAAAGTCAGAAATTTGACAATACATCAAGCTTATTTCGAAGGTATCAGTATCGGTTTCGATATCAGTATAGATATCAGCGATACTGGCCATGTGTTTACATCTGGTTAAAATAAAGTAACGCATACCTCTACCATCCTCTAATTTTTATGTGAAAAACCACAACAAAGTAGTGCCTCATTAGCTCTGAAACAAAATCAGTTTCCTACTCATGTGGGTGAATCTCTTGGGTGAATTATTAGTTGCAAAGTTGGCAAATCCGTCCGTCTGTCCGTCGTGGAAGGACAGCAGAAAGAAAGCCACTGTTGAAAGAAAACCACAAAATGATCCAATTGCAGGAAACAACGGAAACAAGTGGAAGAAGTTGCTTTGGTTGAAACTTTTTGGGCTTCATGCAGTGCACTGAAACTAATAAATAAATAAAAACTGTGATGAAAACAATAACTGGAGCTACAACATGCATTCACAAAACTAAAACATACTGAAATTATAGATATAATATTCTTTATTTATGTGTTCATGAATCTATTTATTAGCCTTTCAGATTGATGTGAAATAGTTTTTTTTTTTTTTTTTTTTTTACACAAACCGTTAATGTCAACTGTCGTCAAATTGCGTCACTCCACACACCTCTTGATGGCTACGCTACGCCAGTCCGCAAAATGGCGACAGCAAAAGTTGGGATTAAACACCAGAGTTAGTTGGTTGCTCAAATTGAATATATTTTTTGAAAATGGTATCTTATGATGAATATTCATTACCCAATTGACGTGAACATAACCACAATACAATATTTTGACCGTATCGATTTCTGCACCTAGAAATGAGCCAAAGCATGAAAAAAATAAAACTACTAAAGTAATAAAAACTAAACTAAAACTAAACAATACTTAACTAAAAAGACTAGCAAACACACTTTAAAAGTAAACTGAATTAGACAAACAAAAATTCACTACACAATAAAACTACTATAATAAAAAACCCCAAACTATTCTGACCTTGGTGTCGGAGTGTTTTTACTATAACATCTCTCCGTGACCTGCGGAGGCTAATGCTCCGTTTCCGTCTCTCACACACATTCACACACTTACCTGTCAGCTTCATTCATGTCTCTCTCTCTCTCAGTCGTCTTTCTCACTCCTCCCTTACAAATCTGTTTCCTATCAGCTCTAATCTAATTCCGGCTTCATTCCAGGGATCCAGTAGCTCCGGCATACTGTTGGGAGGGATTGTGTGTGCGTGTGTGTGTGTGTGTGTGTGTGTGTGTTTTGGGTGGTGGAACATTTCTCTTGTATTTACAGATTATGAAGGATGTCTGTGTCTCTCGCAGCAGTCCAAGAACTGTTGGCAGCTGTGTTTGTTTGGTTGTGGAGACAATATGTGTGCTGGAGGAAAAAAACAAAAACAGAACAACCCCTCAGCTAAACGCTGTGGATGGAGGAGGAAGACTCAGGCTTTGAAGATGTGGGGGGATTCTCTGCGTGGGGACATTTTCCAATCCAGCATGTGGGAGAACGGTGGTTCTGATCAGCATTGTGGCAGTGCATGCATAATTCAGAGAGAGAGACAGAGAGAGAGAGAGAGAGAGAGAGAGAGGAGTGCATTTAATTAAAGAACTAATGAAAGAAATTATTCTGGTTTTTCTGTTCTGTTTCACATTTATTATCATTCCTAAGTAGTGACTTGTCCTTTCTTTGGAAACAATTTATTACTTGTCTGAAGAAAAAAACAATTGCTTTTCACAATAAGAACTCAAGTGTTGGACTGATGAAGAAAGAAATCTTTTTCAATGAGCTCCTCCTTGTGGTTAAAGTACTTTACTACCTAAATGTTGATGATAGACATGAAAGGGGCAGTATTTCACAAGTACGTGCTACTGTACAGTGCTATTATATACCATAATCAAGTAACTACGTCACCTTTGGTTATTATACGAATGTTTCATATGTCAAATTTGACCTAAAAGAAATTTTACTCCCTGATTTAACTCCTTGAAAATGGGCCTCTGTCTCTCTCCTGCTCTTTTTGAAACTCTGCCTTCAGGAAGTTGTCACAACACGGCTCCATTAACTGTTTAACAATGTTTTTACCAGTGTTGCACTGAGAAGTATAGCTCCTATAACGAGCTCAGCAGATATACAATTCCACAAGGTGTTTGCTAATTACGGCTGGCTAGTCTGAAGGAGCTGAGTGGGGGATATAGGAGGGAGGATGAGCTCTGTGAAGCAGTAGCTCATGAGGTTGGAACTGCAACTCAGAGGAAGAAGGCGATGCCAGACTTACCCAGACGTTTTGCACAGACAAATGGTTGCCATGGGAGATTAAAGGATTTCTCAAACATACATGAAAGAATGTAAGGCTCTAAAATAATTCCCCTTAAAAAAGACTGAATTTATATTATAAAGTCAACTTATTAAGCTGATGAAACTGTAGTTCCCACATATGTAACGATTAGTCACTCTTTTAAACTGCTGTGGATCATAGGCTAGTAATGAGATAAACCCAATCTTGTATGTATTTGCTGCCTGGTAGTTTGATTTTCTGATGTCTTGTAATTTCATTTATAAATGCATGGAATGTAAGTCAACCCTGTACGTAAATTATTGTTAAGTTAAAGGAAAATTATGGTTTCCAAAAGGATTTACACATAGAGTCTGAATATTGCAGTATTCTGTGGGTAATATGGCACCCTTCCCAGGGTGGCAGGATTTAGGGGGTGTAACAAGCAGAATAAGAGAAAGAAAATTATCTGTCAACTGAGGAATTGACAGATTCCTCAATTGGATGTTTTTTTTATGTTTAGTCTAAAGGAATTGGTCAAATATATAAACTGGTCCAATTTGAAAATTATTTACATAGTACAAATGTTAATTTAAACGCACTTTTGGCTTTTCAAACTTTTATGCACACACACCTCTAAAAAAGTTTAACTTCTAATAACAAGCAAACAAAAAACAAGTAATTACTAAAGAACATTGGGTATTATTGTTTTACAGGAAGTGGTGTTGTTCTTGTTTCTCCCATTTTTCGTCTTTTTTTATTTTATTTTTTAACTGTAAAGTCTATAATGTCTGTGTGCCTTTAAATGAAGACGGGGCACGGTGGCTCGTGCTGTAGTTTCGTCATGAAGCGGTGTCTTCAGACAGCTGGTGACGTTTATCAGGCTGGCCAATCGGACGCAATTAAATTGACAGCGGACACTCCGTAAACAACGGCCGCGACTTAAATCAAAACAGAGGGAGGATTTTTGTCACTTAGATATTTATTTTACCTCTCTCGTCAGCAAGCTGCAGCACACTTGTAACAATAATTGTTTCGAAAAAAGCTATTGTTATTTGTAAGCTGTTCACATTTTTTCTGACGACTTTACTTTTTTTTTTACTTTCCGGAAATGGTGAGTTTGACAGCCTTATTAGTTATGAGAAATATTGCTGACTGTTTAATGTGTGTGCTCGTTGTCAAGGTAACAAGCGCCCTGTCATGTAGTGTGCAGCGGTAGGACCACTTGCCTCGGTCCACTTTGCCAGAGATTAGGTGGTTCAGACGGGCTTTGCTTGTTCTGCTGCGGATAAAATTAGCCTCCTGCAGCGTTAGAGATCCTCTGTCACTGAGCCCTAAGCGGGAAACCCGGGGGGAGACTGTCACGATTGATTTGTAGACTGTTTTATACGTGTTTTATATATAATAAAATCCTGTCCACCCACAGACAGTTCACATGAGGTCAGTTTGTACCCTCAAATTACAGCAAATATAGCCTCAATGCACTTTGTAGTCAAATAAGGACTTGTATAGAAGTCAACAGAAATAATAAAATAAAATTAAATTAAATTAAATTAAATTTAAAAAAAATCAGATTATAGGCCCAGGTATCTGTTGCTGGAAGAATGACATCAATCCAAGTATCCACAGGTTCGTTCAGTGAAGTTGAGAAGTTTAAGAAGAATATTGATGTCTGATAAATCTAATAATCTCTGAGCTTTTTTGATTAGTGATTAGGGTAAAGTTTAGGATTTCTTTGGTACGGAAATGTCAAGAGCATATCAGCCATTCATCCAGGATGGGGATGTACCCATATGAAAATTCTTTGACAGTCACTCTACTATTCACAGTCCGAGTTGACAACAAACCATTTCTTTTGTATTTTTTGTGGCCCCTCTTGAACTATTTGTTCACTCTAGAACCAATCTCAGTGATACTAGGACAACCTCTATCTATTAATCTTTAATTTAAAAAAAAGCAAAGCACTTATTCAACATCTTGCAGATCTGAGTGATTTTCCTAACTTTGAGTCAACGCAGTGAATTTTCATCCTGTTGTACACATACAAGACAGGTGATATGCTGAAGACGTCTCACACACCATCAACGCACATAACAAGACAGTGTTGACAGCAGAATCTATTTTACTTCTTGGACTTTTCACATAATTTCATTGTTTATCCAGCAGGATGCATCATCTGATTACTTTTCGATGTGTGCTGCAGGATGGCGAGGGCCCCCAGACGTTGTGTGACCTCTGCTTGGCTCAGGTGTGCGGCAGATTAGATGCTTTGTGCAGGAAGGGAGCAGACGGTTCAATGAGCCTCATCTGGGCCCCACTGTTCCCACAGGAACTGGCTGACCAACTGCTGCAAAAGATGGCAACCAAAGGTATGAAGGGGAGCTTTAAAACTAATACCATCAAGTCCAGGAAATGAGGGAAGCAGCTGCCAAGGGAGAGCAGTTTCTTCATAAATTTAGCAAAGGCAATCATTAGTTCAGAAATTGAC